TTCTGTTAGCAGCGTGGTCGTTTGCAGCATGGTCCTGTTAGCAGCATTGTACTGTTAGTAGAGTGGCTCTGTTAGCAGTGTGGTCCTGTTGGCAATGTGGTTCTGTTAATAGCTTGGTCTTGTCTGCAGTGTGGCCCTGTTAGCAGTGTGGTCCCATTAGCAGCATGGTATTGTTAGCAGAGTGGCTCTGTTAGCAGTGTGGTCCCTGTAGTCCTGTTAGTAATGTGGTTATGTTAGCAGTGTGGTCCTGTTAGCAGCATGGTTCCATTAACAGCATGGTACTGCCAGCAGTGTGGTCATATTAGCACTGTGGTCCTACTAGCAGCATGGTAGTTAGCAGTGTGTTTCTGTTAGCAGCGTGGTCTTATTACCACCATGGTCCCGTTAGCAGCCTGGTACAGTTAGCACCATGGTCTCATTAGCATCATGGTATTGTTAGCAGTGTGGTTCTGTTAGCAGCATGGTCCCATTAGCAGCACAATCCTGCAGGCGACCAGCATGAAGCTCCAGTAGGAAGTGGTCTGGCCAGCAGCGAGAAGCAGCAGGTCGTTGGTGCTGGAGGTTTGAAAGCGAACGTGACGCATGTTATGGTCCGACGACTCCGTGGCCTTGAGCTGTATGAAGCCATCACCATAGAAGTAAGCTCCTGATGCCATTTCTGTTTCTATCTGCCACTGAATCAGCTCCAACAGCTCAGGGAACCGCAGCACAGCGCTCCCACCACCACCAGCACTGGCTGTCCGGTGATCAATAGTGTAGTGTATTGTTTGGGAGCCATTGTGCTTAACTTTATTCTTGGCAGAAATATAACAAGATTACATAAACAAAATGATCCATTCACCCTTAAAGTTTGTGTTAGAAGTCACTCTCAGCTACTACCACACCAAATTTTAGCTCAATATCTATAAAACTGACTGAATTGTAGCCATTTTTGTTAGTGTCAAATGTTGGTAATCCTAAACATGGTTGGCTTCAAGAGTCAATCAGATGTAGATGCACATTCAATGATTTCTTTCTAAGAGTTGTTAAAAATTGTTCACTGGTTGTTCATGAGATAATGGCCCAACAGACCGACACACAAACAACACACATGCACGACTACATGATCACCTGCCTTTCGTAGTAGCAGGCCTTTCTGCTTGCTTATCATTGCTTTTTTTGTTTGACTACAAGCATTAGACCTCTTCAATATAAATATATTTTTATCTCTGTGTATTTTACGGTGTTTCTCATTGGTGTTAGTAGCATCATGTGCTTTCCAGTTGGGTAATGCAACATAAAAATCACCGTTAAACATTTAGTTTCACATGTTGAGGAGGGGAAGAGAGAAAAGAATAGCATAATACCACCTTGAGGTGACTTTGTTAGCATTTCCCAAAGCTTTCAACCGTATCGTATGACACGGGCACTGATTTAAAGGTGTTGTGATGTAACTCAACACTTTCAGAAAGTCTTCAAAGTAAAGCACTAAAGTTGACCTGTGAGTCAAAACTTAGGGCTTCAGAGAAACTGTGGTTTCAGATGAGCTCAAAGAATGCGAGGTAAAGCCCATGCCACAAGCTACTTCTCCAAGCAACAGATCCCGTTTCAATCGAGCATTTGCAGGATGAGCCGCAGTGCAAGCGCTGCAGCTACTAAAATCCCGCGAGATCCTGGGGAAAGCGTTCCCCGTGCAGGATACCCTCATCTGTCCATTTCCCAATGGTTCAAGGCTGTTCCGGTGATGTTGCTGACTGAACTAGTTAAAAGCAGTGGTCAATGGTAAACAAAAACATAGACTTTTTAATTTAACACAAGACCTCAAGTGTTGGAGCCAACATCTTTCCCATCAGCCTGTCAAGGCGTGTTAAACCACTCTAAGAGTTGTATAGATGCTAATATTTTTTTTTTTAAACAGAAAACAGCATTACTTTCCATAAGTTCATCTCTGAAACTTTATTTTGATGCAAACTTAAGCATCCTAGCCAGCATACTGACATGCTGACTCCACATTGTGTGTTTCGATTAAAGGGTGTACAAACCGAAGCCTATAACAGACCTCATGACAACACAGCAGACAGCACTTCCCCATCAGGCTCATGATAATAAGGTTACTCTGGGCTGATGAGATCTGTTCTGCAATAATATTCAAGAGGACAAGACGAAAACCCAAGAAAACAGAAGGTGTGTAAATGGAAACAATAAAATTCTTATCTTGGATTAAAGCAATAACATCTACGATCTTTGACATCAAGTCGGTGGCTTCGGGTTAAATCATCATTTCACCACTTTGTACTTTTGCAGTATTAATCTGAACGTACTCATACTTTTGTGAATACAAAATATCAGCTGTTGGCCATGGGTCTTCTCTTATCAACCCGAGCAGCCACCTCAGTGTTGATGATTTAGTAAATTACTGAAGTAACATCATTGATGCCATCTGTAGTTTAAGAGTAGACCTACATCTGCAAAATCTAACTTTAGCGTCAAAACTTTTGGTTCTAATCCTAACCTTAATCTCAGACCCCTGGCTTTAACTTTAATCTTAATTTTAACTCTAGACATGCGGCGGTCACATTACATTTCAAACCACATGAGGGTGCAATCAGGATGCAGCCAACATCCAAATGCAACGTAAAAGTGAAAATCGTGTACCCAAGTTTTGACCTGATCTCAAGCCGAACGTAGCTTGCGTTAATCTTCATTCCAAACCCTGAGCATAGCATCAAGGGGAGTTCACTGAAATAAAATCTCAAGAAAAACCTGAGCTCAACCAAACCCTAGACATGGACGCAAATATTCATAGGTACATACGCCAGTCCAAAATGGCAACCACTAAGTACAAGTTGAAGGACAAAGTGGTGAAAGCACGACTTAACGAGTGTCCCAGTTTGGCATGTGTAATCTCAGAATACCAAACATACATTTAGTCACAACTTACATGATCATAAGGCTTCAGTTGTTTTATTGATGCACACCACAGCCAGACAATTTGCTGCATTCATGTGACGCGCCCTATAGCACTCCACATGTCTTAATCTAACTCATCGTTTTCATGAAAGTATAGAAAGGGCTATAGAAGCGCTCCTTGTCCAAGACTCCTGATGGATATCAGCCACTGTCTTAAGTAACACAAAAACAACTGGCTGAACTAAATTCAAACAGAAAAAAGAAAGAAGTAGATTATCAGTTCTCAGACAATCAGATCTTTGTAAAGCCAAGAGACAGGAGTCTCCTTCCCATGAGACCGGAGGCTAATATTGTCCATTAGGAAAACAGGAAGCGTAGTGTTTGTCATCCTTTTTTTTTTTCAGATCCCCCATTAAGTCGTGGTTCAAATTTTCATTTTCTTTACGCACTGATTTGATCAAGAGTGGACAGCTCTGAGAAAAGAGCGGATCCGAGTCCAACAGCTGCGTCTTATATGTCTTTTTAGTTTAGCTCCTAACAGGATGGCTCATATGTCTCTTTCAGCCCTTCTCACATCATTCAACGAGTTTTCATTAGGCCACAGTGATAAGAGCGGTGGAGGACAGAGGATAGATTTAACACACTCTGCTAATGCTTCTGCTTTTTTTTTTTTGTGCGTGTGTCTTTTTAAAGAAGCAGAATACAAGACGTAGAGCTGACACCATCACTGGTTTGATCATACCAAAAACAATACCTCTGATTAAATGGAAACCAACAAAAAAAGAGGCGAGGTGTCCTTGTTAATAAAAAAAAAGACATCCTGTCCACATTTAAAGTATGCAAGGAAAACAGAAGCAAGAATACACCTTGTATCTCTTGATCGCCATCTCTTCTGCTTTCTCAGTATCAACCAAGAAAGGGAGAACAGAGAAAAACAAAACCGTGAGAGAAGCTTTCCGTCACTTGGTTGATTAAATCCCCTGCTTGGGCTTTTGTACGTCAGCACCCGGCCGGTACGTCCGACATAAAGTCAAACTCGTTCTGTCCCAGCCACAGCTCCGGTAGCTCGTTGGCTCGGTCCAGACCCAGCTCCACCACCAGAGACATGAGAACTTCCTCATCCACCGGGTCAAAGTCGATAATTCCGCTCGCTGTGGTGCCCTGGCCGGCTACGCTGATCCCGACTCCCATGTTCCCTCCTCCGAGGCCTCCAGGTGGCCCCAGGAGCTGGTTACTCGTACCCAGCGGTGTGAAGCCCTTTGGAGCTCCACCAGGAGCTGGATGCCCAGGAGAGGCGCCGGCGAGGTTCTGATAGTGAGAATTGAGCTTCTGCAGCTGCATGCTGGCAATGAGATGTGGCCCAGTCTGCAGACAGAAGGGCTGCGGTTTGGAGAGCGGCGCCGACGACAGCGACACCCCGGGCGACGAGGCAGGACCGGGTGACTGAGAGAAGGGCACGACAGAGGGTTTGGAAGAGGAGTAGTGGAGAAGGGAGGTGAGAGGAGAGGACGAGGAGAGGTCCTTCATGGCAGCTTGAGCGTCTCCAGGGAACAGCAGTGAGGTCATCACCGAGGGAACCCAGAGCCTGTAGAGGAGGAGAAGAGATAAAATGTAATGTCATCAAACCACATGAAGAACAGATAAGCTGGTTAGCTGAAAGGTGCTGTTGATCACAGGTGACATCACTGAATATTTTTATTATAAGAGACAAATTCAGTGTAAAAACTGATAGATCTGGACTTTCTCCACAACAGCATCAAAGACCATAAAGAAACGAGTGTGCTGCAGCAGGCACATAATACATCCATCAATACTTTTACACAGCAAGCTCAGACATGCAAAGACTTTATATAAACTTTGACCTTGATGTGTGACCTTGACCTTTGAGCTGGGGTGATGAAAATATTACACAACATGCTGTCTAGCGATGGTACAAATTCATTCTTAAGTTTCAATACATTATCATTATCAGAATTTAGGGTGGCACGATGGCGCAGTTGGTAGAGCTGCTGTCTCTCTACAAACAGGTCACTGGTTCAAATCCCAGCCGGGGATCTTAAAGGGTGGAGTTTGCATGTTCTCTCCGTGCATGCGTGGGTTTTCTCCGGGTACTCCGATTTCCTCCCACAGACCAAAAACATGTATGTTAGACTGATTGATGACTCTAAATGTCCCTAGGTGTGAGTGAGAGAGTGAATAGTTGTTTGTCTCGTTTGTCTCTGTCCCTGTGATGGACTGGAGACCTGTCCAGGGTGTACCCCGCTTCTTGCACAGTGACTGCTGGATAAGGGGACCAGTGACTGCCGCAACCTAAATAGGAAGAAGCAGGTAAAGATCATCGATGTATGAATCCAAATTTATGTTTAAATGCAGAGACTATAATGTAATATTTCCGCATTTTGATGGGCGTTTAAAAACTAAATCTTTATCCTTTCACTCTTGAACAATGCAATTTTTTGACATTTAGTGTGAGGTTGGAGAAAAAATGTATCGGTACACAAATCTTAACTCGGGAATAATGCTCAACAACACATCTGCACAAACCTTCTTCAAAAGACGAGCTCAAAAAGCCAGAACAGAAACTAAATTGAGAAGGGTTTGAGACGCCGGTGATCATTTGGAGATGATGCACAAATGTTCTGAAGACATTCTGAATCCCTTCAACCCAAGAGTGAGCCCCTACAACTCTCACAAGGAAACTGAGAAACGTTGCAAACCCTTTAAAAACAGTTTCAAATGTGTATCTTTCAAAGTTAATGCTCAATAATCCAGGTAAAAAATCCAACAAAGTTAAGACAGGCTATCTGAACTGTTTCTTTTTTTTTGTTGTTGAAAAGTTTCATTTGACATCGTCACAGTCCTTTGGATGAAGGAAAGGAAGACCTGACTTGAAAAGAAGACTTGACTTCATCAGGAAGCCCTTTGACTTCCTGACGAAGTCCTTTGGATGAAGGACAAAACATTTCAAGAACATAAAAAGAGAAACCATCCATATGACCTGACTGAACATTGTTGGATTTGTACCTGGATTATTGAGCATGAACTTTGATGTTTTGAACCACTTTGGCTATGGCTGCCTCGGAGGAGTCGACGGAGAGGGTGGGCTCCAGAAACCATCTCATCACCAGCAAACTGGTTGGCCCGCTATGTGAGCGTGCTGCTTGTGGGACTGAGTTTGTTGTGGCTCCTCAGACTGACAAAGCCCTTTGGATGAAGGACAAAACGTTTCAGCAACATCCATCCAGATGACCTGACTTAACTTTGTTGGAGCTTCAACTATCATGTAGGATTTAAAAAAAAGTTTCCTAGTAAAACAACTTTATAATCAGGCGTTCATCACAAATCAAAATAATTATTTTTAAATATTTAAAACCAACATCAAGAGTTGATGATGAACTTAAAGGGACATTAGGTGCGGATATATTGAATACCTAAAGGAATTCATTGTTGCTGAGTCTGCGAGAAGTGCATGATGTAAACATCCAGGATGGTCCCCTGGGTTCTTCTGCAGCCAACGGTGTGCAGCCCGAACATGTGTAAGAAATTAACTACTACCTCTGCAACTGGACCAGCCTCCCATTCAGAAGAAACTAAACTAAAGACAATAAGAATACTTAAAGCAGAAAACAAGATTTACACCATTATTGATTAAACTGACCTCATGAAGATAAAAGCGCAACATTAACACTGGATTATTTACTAATGCACATAAGACTGAAGAGTTGCCAAAATACTAAGATCACTTACTTATAAGTGAGATATACTTGTACTTAAGATATACTTAAGATCATGTTGAAGTAGGGTTCAATGGGAAAGGTATGAATGATTAATATCCTACCTGTTGTAGATAGCTCACTGAATGACATTAATTTGGGGAAAAAGTTTAATTCTAACAAGATTGACAAGCTAACAGTGAATTGTTGTCCTAAAAAGACAAACAGCTCAAATATGACGTTTTATAGCGGTTCATGCTGTTTTATACACATTTATGTTGCTGGCAACTTTTGCATGAACTGATTATTTTCAGATCAGACAATTGCCCAGTTTACTCTGATCTCGCTTCACATTATGTCCATCTGATCACAACTAAATAGTACTTCTTCAAATTGTGGTTGTTCCAAGCTCCATCCACAACAAGTAATTTATCAAATGTTTATAATCTTTCAACAGAACTCACAATTCTGATTATTTGACCATTTAGCCTGCCTGTAGCTTGATGTGACGTCACGTGCACCGCAGAATGGCAGTGCTGAGGGGAGCTCTGCTTCGACTTGGCTCTTTTTTTGTCCCTGTTGCTTTTGTTTTAACTTTTTTTGCACCTACACTGCACACCCATGCTACGGGTATGACAGCGACGCACTTTCGGAGTTTTCGTGGTTCAGTTCCCAGCCCCCTTCCAGCCTCGGGCTCAGGCCTGTCATGGTGGTCGTCTCCATCATCTTCCATCTGCCTGCACGGACCGAAAAGTGCCTGCCGCGAAGAAAACTTGGATGTTGTCTGTGTGCCGTATCCGGTTCTGGAGGGCAGTCATAGTCTGTTGCTGGGATCATTATTATCATCATGCTATTAATGGGACCGCGCTGCTAACAGTACCACATTGCTAACAGTACTATGCTGCTAACCGTACCATGATATTAATGGGACCGTGTTGCTAAAGCCCCTTTTGCATTAGTACCTTTAGTACCAGTGCAGCACGGCTCGGCACAGTACAAGTTGTGTTTCCATATACTTTCAGTACTGGTTCTAGTGGGCAGGTTCAGAGTTTAAAAATTGATGTCACGTGCCTTACCAGAAGGTGGTGTTACTGCTGGTGGTCAGACCCTGAATCAGGTTTCAGTACATTTTGAGAATTTATTTTGAAGTTTCTGGTAAATTTAAAAAAAAAAATACATATTATGAAAATGATCAAATTAAACATTTTAAATCCTGCTAATGAACTTTAGTTCACCATTAAATCTCTGATGAACCAGATTCTACAAAAACATCTATATTTAAAATGTTATA